CCCGCAAATTTTAATGCGAGTTTGTTTGTTAATATTTGGGTGCTGTCATTGGTTCTTTTTTGACAATTGACGCGCGAATGGGGCGTGTTATGAAAAGGGGCGTTTTACAAAATACCGGGCCTTGCTTGCAGGCCCACTATCAGTTCCCTTGGGCCTGCACGCGGGCTAAGTTTATGATAAAACCATATGTTGGTAAGCTGCCATGGTTTGTACCTCGAGTAAGAAACACTCCTACATAGACACAGAATAAGGATCCATACAGAAGGGCCACTTACGTCGGAAGCTTTGAAGTTTCTGTCCTCGCGCATGTCGCGTTACGCATGTTGGCCGCCATTTTCCGCATTCTGGCCAGTAATGGACCATTCCCCAATTAACCAAAATTTTGATCTCAACAAGTCTAGACAAAATTCCATCATAGCATGAAAGAGCATCACAAAATTAGTAATATTCCAAAGTTTCGTTGCGAAATGTTGTAAAATGCGGATAATATAGCCTTGCGAAATTTGCAATTTTTAGTCATTTTAAATTACAAACGTGAAATGGTTACCACTTTTCCAAAATTTTGATCTTAACTAGCCTAAACAAAAATTTCATCACAACTTGAAAGAGCATCACAAAATTAGTGATATTCCAAAGTTTCGTTGCAAAATGTTGTAAAATGTGGATAATATAGCCTTGCGAAGTTTGTAATTTTCAGTCATTTTGTATTACGCACAGAAGTGGTAACCATTTACCATTTGTAATCTAAAATGACTGAAAATTGCAAACTTCGCAAGGCTATATTAGCCTGTGCACATCCTGTATTACCCTGTACTACAGTGAGTACAGTTCTGTGAAAACTCACGCGATTGTTTGTCGAGCTACTCAGATCTGAGTAGTAGACTGTCATTGGCTAAAGATAATTAAATTATTTTGATTGCCTACTATGAGGCGCCGGATGTAAAAAAATTATTTGTGAAATTTCATGTTGTTTTTTTCATGGTTTGTAAAGAATCTCATGGTATAAAAGATTATTTACAAATAAGTATTCTAATGTGAATTGATTGTTTGTAAATAAT